AATTAAGGGTAAATAAACTTAATTTAAGAAATTTTTACTTATTTCTAGATCGTTTTTTTGACAGTACTCCAATAAAAATAATCAATAATTGATTTTATTACAATTAGGCCTGCCACTATCGATTACTTTGCAAATCAATTAATCTGTCAAATATTTTTTAGATTAATATATACATAATCAGATAGCCAAGGGTTCCTTAAAGAATTTTTTTTTACAAAACAAACTAGGTGAAACTAAGACTTTTCCATGAGAGGAATTCTGGATAGAGCATATTGAGAGACAAAAACTTAAATATATACAAAATACTTAATCTTAAATACAAAATGTTTAGATATCTTGGTATAATAACCACTGTTAGTTGGGGTGTAAATAATAATGGTTTTGTATCGATGCATCGATCCAACAGCCGACGATCCGATGTATCGACACGTCCGCAAGAGAACCGATCCATGTTTTTTTTCCCTCTGGTCTATTTTTTGCTCCTGGATGTAATTCTCCCTCCCGTGCTGCGGTGGCGCTAAACCTATTTTGCCCTCCTACCTCGCTTCCTGGTTATACTCTTACATAGGGATGGGGATCGTTAATATTTATTGATATCGATACCTTTATCGATACTCCTTATCGATCCGAGTCTTTATCGATACCACTATCGATACTTTTCTGTTATTTGGTGGAAAGACGAAAAAACAAATTTTTTTTAACAGAACTGGTATTGCTTCTATTGCTTAACAAGTGAGCATAACAAAAACGTTTCTAGCCTTCAATAAACATGGCTAATGTAATAGGCCACTTCGAAATGACATAAAACTAACTGGAATATATTTTCACAATTGTTGGTTAATGTATTGTCTACTGTCACTTTTCATCATGTTTTTAGTGATTAGGAAAATATTTAACAAATAAATAATTGTATTTTAAATTAAATGTAATTTTTAATAAATGTTGGCATCAGTAGTTTAATTATATGTTCTAAAATAATTAGAGCAATATACAACTGTATTACTCATGTTTCTCGCTAAAAACTCAATTTCCCGTTTTCTTTACGTTACACTTGAACGCATCATAATAACCTAATTGTCGTTTTACTGAGCCAATCTGAACACATCATCACGCAGCACGTCTGAAACTTTATTTACTTTTCAAGCTAACTAGCTTGTATGCTTCCGATTACAACACGGATTTCACAATTACTATTTTTAACTGACCGGACAAGCTACAAAGTCTGTGTGCGCGCTTACCAGTGGTACTCTGAGTGGATGATGAAGACGGGCCCGGCTGTGGTGCGGGGGCAGGAGGAGGAGGAGTCTTTTCCGTTCAGCCATTCTCAAGTCGCGAGCAAAGTTAAGTGCCAGACTTCACTTGTTTTACTTTTAATAACTGTTTGCTTACAATTTCATTCCAAAATATTGGTGGTCATGCTGCAGTGATTGGATTAATTAGATTTAAATGCTGTGACACGACTCGAGGGACATACAGTTATGTTACAGGACCTCCGGGAGAGAAAAAAAAAACGACCAGACTCGATAGTGGTATCGATAAGCCCAAACGTTATTGATTTTCGGGTTTTGAAAAAAGTGGAACCGGGTCCTTCATGGAACCGGGTTTCGATCCCCATCCCTACTCTTACAGCAGTGTGTTGCAGGAAGCCTGACACAGACATTTTTTATTTATGCTCAATATTGAAGCGTGGTCTGTGCTACACGCTGTAGGTCTAGATACGGCCAAGGCGGTGAGGAAGTGGGGGCGAGTTTAGCCCGACGACGGAGGGACATGAGGGCCAAAAAGAGCGTAGATCCAGGTGGAAAAAGGGTCCCAGCGTTCTCGTGCACCTCGCTCTTCTAGTGGGTCAAACTTCACGAGTTGTTTTCTGCAATTTCGGTCATAAAAACAAAACAAGCCGGCCTCCTGTCTGCGGCGCTGTCTGCGGTCAGCTACAATCTGGGAGAGGAGCAGCGGAGCGTCTGTGGAGGGGGCGGGGACGTCTGGAGCAGAGGTATTGAATTGCACTCATTGCACTGATTATGTATTTTTGCAGTATTTTTTTGATGCAACTTTTCTACCTCTGTTATTTGCTGTCATTTCTAAAAAAAAAATTTGATTTATTTCAAACTTGAAACTTTGTTTAGCCTGTAAGGTGTAAAAAAAAGAGAAAAAATTTTTACCGATTAATCGAATCAAATGATATCATGGTGTATTCTTGAGTATCGAAAATAATCGAATCGTTGGGTCAGGAAATCGATACTGAATCGAATCGCCATGATGGATGTGATTTACACCTCTACTGTTAGTTGGTCGTTCTGCCAGCTACAGGCATGTTTTAGAGTCTCTATACTCCAGTTAACGATTCATTGATTACTAAATTAGTTAATGATTATTTTAATCCATTAATCATGATTAATTTGATTGTTTCAGCCCTCAATAAAATAACTGAATTCAATCATATCTACAATCCATGGATCTATCTAGTGATGATGAGGGGCTTCATTGGGGCCTTAAAGCTGTTCAGCAAATGTGTTTTAAAACAGTTAATTTCTCGGACCCTTTTGTGGGCCTTAAAGGGTTAATTTTATGTCGACCTTTGACCTCGCCTCCGTCCCCCGTTCTGAACCATTCTTATTTTAGTGTATTCTAATAAACATCTTAAACTGCTCCTTGTTTCCCCGTCTGTTTCTGCATGTGGGCCAAACATCTTAAAGCCATGACATCCTTTACTGGGCCTTTCCATTGACTTCCATTCATTTCTACAATCTAACTGTGACATATAGTAAGCTGTTCAGTAGGCAGCAAATATGCAAAAGAGAACAGAAACAACTAATTTGTTGCTGGCTGTCAGTATACGAGACTGAAGAAAATCCGTGAACAGAAATGCAATAAACGCCACATTCACTGGATGTTCATGTCTCAGGCTCAAGCGAAACAACCGATGCTACAGCAGCTGTGAGTGCGCTGACGGCTAGATCAACGCAAGGATTAAGATTTTGTTTTGCACTTTTGGATTCCCCATCGCACTGGAAGAAAATGTTAAGCTTTTATTTATGGACTATAGAACAAATTAAAATAGTCATCTGTCTGTTGAATGGATTTATTTATGGTCACTCGATCAAATTAAACTATTTTGCACTTTTTTGAATGAATTTAATGAGACTACATTACGTTATCCTGCAACTTTGTTTGGATTTAAGAAATAATGTGTTCTTTAAAAACATATGAGAGGAATTTTTTTTTTTCTGGCTTGTAAAAATAATGCTTGGCCAGTAAATAATTTTGTCTTCCAGTCCACTTGGCTGTAGAGTCAAATGCTATGTTCACACCGGACGCAGCAGGAGCAGCAAAATCGCATCTGCTGCTTCATTTTTGCTGCTTGTACCAGTTTAGTTCTGACGCGCGGCTGAAGCATCTTTGCTGCTCTGGCTGCGCAGTGCCAAAGTGTGTCTGACGCGCGTTGAGCGGAGCTACTCTATCCTTTCTTTGCCTTGCAGCTATTTTTGCTGTGATCAGTGGGAATAAAGTAGTTTTAATATGTTTTTAAGTGAGAAAATCCACCTGAAAACTTAATCAGTGCAGTCAGTTCATTCAGATTACCATCCTGCCTTCTAATATTATTTCTGTCGGAGCCGCTCAGACCCCCACATACCAGCGGTGCGCCGTCAGTAGGAATCCCATTCAACAGCAGCCTCTGGCCGGGTCGCCTCCTTGCGGTTCACCGCGGCAGCTAGCAGGTGTTTTTCATCTAAATAATCCAAACTGCAGGCAGCAGGATAATAAAAGCGGACATATTCTGCCGGCAGATTTCTACATTTTAAGTTAATTTAGGCGTCAATAAAGTGTTTCAGAGGAGTGATCACAGGGCTCTGTGTCATCAGCGATGTGTCTGTCTCTCTGCCAGCTCCCAGATCAGCGTCTCTGATTGGTTGACGTGGCGCGTTGAGCAGCAAAAGTTCAGTTTTTCCATCTCGAGCAGCGGCGCATTTGCGGCGCGGCGCGCGCGTCATATGCTTAAACGTTCCCGACGCGCTGCTTCAGCTGCTCAAAATGCGCCGCGGGACCTTTTGCTGCGCCTTAACGCGCGTCAACCATTGACTTTGCATGTAAACTCGCTGCTTCTGCTGTGTCCGGTGTGAACGCAGCAAAAGAGTTAATTTTAGACTCTGGACATCTTTAACAAGTCAACTCCAGGACAGACAGCATTTTAATGCACTAATTGGACAAAACATCCCATATCATGCTGACTCTACCTCCATGCTGGACTGTTGGATTGAAACGTTTGTGCTGATAAGCTCCATTTATGGCACTGATTAATGTTTCCCAACATCTCTTCATTAAGGACCTCTGTCCAAAATACTTTGTCCTAGAAGTCTTGTGCTGAAGAACTGCTTGAGATAAGCTTTTATTAAAAGTATTTTATGTTAAAAAAAAAAAAAAAGAAAAAAAAAAAAAGGACAGCAGCTAAAGTCTCTATGCGTTCCCAGACTGCTGCCATGGAGCTCACATATAAACTCCTGTAACATAACACGCCTGTTTACATGAAGTGTCCTGGACATGTGGTCTGAAACGAAAAGTCTTTGCATGAGTCACCACTTGTTGCTAGGAGACTAAAAGGTTCAAAAGACGTGAAACATGAGGTCATGCTAAGAGAGAGTGTGTGTTGTGTCTGAAAGCCGTGAGGCTAAAACACAGCCAGATGTGGCGGTCATCAGTGGAGTAAACAGCTGGACGACGCCATGAGGAGTTCATACGGAGACATCTTTTAGACTTCCTGATTCTGACCTGTTCAGACAATAATAAACACCTGATGAATCTTTCTCTACTCTTTCTGATCCGACGCACCTAGAGAACAACGCTGTGTTTGAACACATGGTTCTAATTTGAACCTACAGCAGCAGCCCAGGCTGTGACGTCTAGTACCAACGAATCAGGAGGGTAGAGGATTCAATGAAAGACCAAACCAGCTTCTATAATCCAGAATCTGCTCTGCAACACGTGAAGGATTGTTTCCTTACTTGTGGAAGCGTCCTGCTCTGTCTTCATTGTCGGCGTACAGGAACAACTTTAAGGCGTAGTTTTCGATGTGAGCGTTGCCGACAACCTCCTGACCGATGGACTCGTTGTCGCTCAGCTCCTTCTTCATCTGTGGAACAAACAGACAAAGATCATACAGTTAGCATTAGGGATGGAACGGTTTATGAAAAACGTCCGAACCGTTCAGTTCGACTGTCTCGGTTCGGTTCGCGTGTGTTGCGTTCGGTTCATGACCACCAAAGCCAACCAACAGTAGTAAACAAGAAGAAGAAGAAGCGAAGCAGCGTAGCCGGGTGTAGCAGAAAAAAATCAGTTGTTGTGGAGAATTGTGTGGGTATGGCGAGTGGGAAAGAACAGGAGTTGGAAGACGCGCCAGCAGCACTTTATAGGTCTGCTGTATGGGACCACTTTGCATTTAGAGTGACCTACGATGACGGCGGGAAGAAAGTTGTGGATAAAAGTGCAACAGTGTGCAAGCATTGTGCAACACGTTTTGTTTATGCTAACAGCAACATGACCAACATGTCAGGCTAACCCCGAAATCCCACATACTCCGTCAGCGCTCCGCCCCACTGCGTTCCAGACCGCCTCCACAAAGCAAAGCCTACAGCCTCCTCTGTGGCTCCCATATGCTCCGCTCTGAGTTCCTTGGAGATCGTAGAGGGCATGCGCCAGATGATTAAATTCAAAGCAGCAAAACATGTAGAAATGATCATTAATAATTAATTTTTAAGGGATTTTGGGGTACAGTGGAAAAAGGATCTAAAAATAAGTAGAAATGTCTTAAATTAAGTGTATTTACGCTTAATTTGAGTAGGTAAATGAGATCGTTTGCCAATGGAATTAGTATTTTTGCTCTTAGAATAAGAAAATTAGATAAAATGCACCTGAAATAAACAATGCAATTGTGTTTTCTTATTGTAAGTGTAAATTGTCTTGTTCCATTGGCAAAATCTCTCTTTTACAAGAGTCTTTAACAAGAATTTTTAAGACTTTTTAATGCCACTTGAAATAAAAATTTAAGACCAAATTCACAAGAAACACAAGAAAAACCTGCTTGTGACAACTTAACCCAAAGGTTTATTTTAACATAAACCACTGCACTAATGTTTCACATTTTGAAAAGCTTCCCATACAGGAAGAAAGCTAAAAACAACAATAATTTAACTGAATTCACAAACTTTTTTTTTAGCAGGGAACAAAACAAATCAGTTTTAAAACCCCAACATAACAAGTCTTTTTTGCAGTTATTTTTTTTTGTATGGTTTTCTTAGTATGTTTGATTTGGTGATAAGTGGAGGCGTTGCAGAGACAAGGGTGGAACAAAACTGAGAAATACCGGTGTAGGTACCAGATTGACTTGGGCTTCCAGATTGACTCGGGGGGCCTGCGCCTTTTGATGACGTCACAATACATAATTGTTTTAACGTTTGCACAATTGCGCAAAACATTTTGATTGGTCTGGACAGCTTACTAAAGTAATTATAGCGGGGTGTAGGTTTTATTCGAAAGCGGGATTGCGGTTTGTAAACGGACAATTTTACGAAGAAATTCTCCATGGTCCCTGCGCCTTCCGATGATGTCACCAAATTCGCCATGGGCCTTGCGCCTCCCGATGACGTCACATTATGGCAACGCCACTCAAACAAACTACATTGAGCCCGCGGTCTGCATTGGTAACGAGAATACATTCAGGAGAATGAAGCTAAAGGGATACAAAAAATAAACTTGTAACATTACAAAAACAAAAATACTACGAATCTGTAAACAAATTAATGAAAAATTAATGTTTTAATGTATTATAGGTATTTGGTCAATTAACGGACAGTGCCAAACGATTACCGTTTATTGGCTAAATAAAATAGATTTGTGACAAATAGAGACCGCGGGCGCAATGTAGTTTGTTTGAGTGGAGTTGCCATATCGTTACGAGTGGCGTTGCCATATAGTGACGGGCGGAGTTGCCATATTATGACGTCATCAAAAGGCGCAGGCCCCCGAGTCACTCTGGCAGCCCGAGTCAATCTGGTACCTACACCGGCTGTTTCTCCGTAACTCTATTTTGACGCTTTGTGTTTCGCGCTTCGCATGTGCGACTCCACTGCCTTAATTCCCATCGTTCTGAGCTTGAATGACTTCTTGCACAAAATCCACTGAGCCTCATGTATGTTCCCTGGTTTTAGCCATGGAGAAAACTCTTGGCTGGAGCCAATTTTCCTTACATTTACACTTGCTCATATTTTCCAGACAAAAAGTAAATGGCGCATCTCCCAAATGTCCCGGCCGCAACAGCGCTTTTATTGGTTCCGCTATCGGGACGGAACCAATAATGGTGAGCAGTTATTTTTTTTAAATAAAAAAGGTAAATTTTAATGTTTTATTTAGATTACAAAAATAAATTATAATAAAAATAATCCCATTTATGTTTTTAAAAATTAAGACCTACAAAAGATTGATTTAAGACATTTTAATACCAGTTAAGGCCTTAGTTTTATTTTGAAGAATTCAATGCCTTTTAAGACTTTTTAAGGACCCGCAGGAACCCTGTCTATGTCTGCTTCTGTCTCCTTGAACCCCAGTGGGCCTCAGCAGATGGCCGCTCACACTTAGCCTGGTTCTGCTGGAGGTTTCTTCCTGTTAAAAGGGAGTTTTTCCTCTCCACTGTCACTACAAGCACGCTTAGTGTCAATGAGTCGATGCAATCAACTGGTTTTCCTTATCTAGCAAACTTTGAATCAATCTGACTGTATGATCTGGTTGAATTGTAATGTACATTGAGATGACATGTGTTGTGAATTGGTGCTATATAAATAAACTGCATTGAATGTAATTGTCTTAATGAAAGGAGTCAAGCATTAACTTATCAGAAGCTGAGGCACCCAAAGGACAAGAAACCTAAGTCGCCTTTAAAAACTGCAGTAATATAGCAAAACAATGATGTAAAACCTTAAAGAACGGCTCGGCTCACTCAGTCACCTCAGCGACGCCATCTAGTGTGATGTCAGACTCATGTCTCTTGGCTAGAGTTTTCTCTTTCCTCTGTTTTACTCAACCGGCAGGGCGTCAGGTTTCAGGTAAAAGCAGGTAAGAAAACACTCTAGTTTCCTCCAATAGCTGCAGCCTGAGAAGCCTGAATAGAAAGTCTGTTCACTGGTTTAAAAACAGCGGCACAGGAATGTAAAACCATGGAGGACAATCGGTTTGGGAATATAAAGAATCTGCGTTCAAAGAGAGCTCTGAGGGAGTCTGAGTTAAGCTAACATTTCATCAAAACCCCTGCACCAAAACTCGGCTTTTTAACAGTGTAATAAACAGATACACTGGTGATAGGTGAAGGTCAGTTCCTCTAAATAAGGATTGGTTCAGTTTCACCTGTTAGACCTTCATTTCATTACAAGACTGCCAGCTGTAGAAAAAACTACATATATAATACAGATTGTTTTTACTTGAAATCAATAAATCAGATTGAAGGTAGATGGAAAAGTATGATCATGGTAATGTCATGTGTCCTTCTATCTTGCAGTCCTAGTTGGTATAATACTGATAGAAATACAAAAATAAATCAGGCAAATAAAGACTAAAATTCACTGTATACTTTAATAAATTCTTAAGGTAAAGAGAAGATCAACAATGCAAGTCTATTATGTTTAGATGGTCAGCAAGGAATAATTAATGGATCATTATCTTTACCTGAATTTAGCATTGATCAATCAAAAAAAAATAAAAGTAATAATTCTTATCAGTCTGGGAGCGGCCATTTTTGCCCAAATATAGTAACCCCTCCCTCCTGCCATCTTCCGGCAATGACGTCACGATGCGGTAAGCCTAGCGCCATTCTCCCCGCTTTAAAAGCAAAATCAATGGGAACTACTAGACACATCTGCAATCAACAACAATTATTGAAGATTTCCAGAGGACTTCACCATTGAAATTCACCAGAGCTATAGTGAAACTGACAATGCCCATGTGCATGGCAGCTGGATGTTGGAATACATCGGGTAAAAGTGAAAAAACATTATTTATTTCAACTTTCCGATTTATAATCATCCACGGACAGGTTCATCGTTGGATTGCCAACTTGAAGAGGGAGGATTTGCCATCGAACTGCTGGCCAGAGAAAAAACCCGTAATATGTAGCCAACATTTGGAAGAAGAATGTTTTCAAGATGACTTGGATAATAGCGCTTTGTGACAAACACCAGATACAGCACTGGGACTTGATCAACAGCCGATACCGCACCGTGACGTCCCCGTAAACACTGGGACGGAACTCAAAGGTAAAGTAAATGACTCTTATTTCAACCGTTGCGTATATTAGCTGTGACTTATGAATTAAGATGTTATGACGGAAAATTTGATTGACAGATGACCGTTGATATGTGATTCGCCGAATTCAGGTGTGGAAGCTGAAATGAAATAATAATAAAAAAAACAACACAGATTTTAAGACAGAATTTTTTTTAAATAGAAATTTTCTAAATTTTGGGACAATATCGTCTGTCTGATAAGGAGTACATTTATCTACACGTTTAAGCCAGAATGATTTAACATTTCAAATATGATTTCCCTAAGACTTTAAAAAAATTAAATTAAAATCAAAATACATGTAATAGTGTAAAATATTCATAAAATATATTTAAATTGCGCAAGGGGGGCGCTGTGGAGCCGCGAATCAAGATGGCAGCTTAAAGTGGATGCTCCGTGAGACCTGCACCAAAACTTCGATAAAACCCAGAATTAGAAACGTAATTTGGATCTGAAGATGTCAAAATCGACCACTCTTAAGGATTGTGATATTTTCTCACGAAAACGCGGTTCCCAAAAACCAACTAAAACGGATATTTCGGGAACAGAGCAAGACAAAGAAGGTGCCGCTAGCATTGATAGCATGTGTGACCTTAGCACCGTACTAGCTGAGCTTCGGTCATTACATTCAGAGTTCGGTGGATTTGGAAATAAACTGGACAGCATAGATAACCGTATGGGTGAAATGACGAAGTCCATCGCTTCTCTGGAAAAAAACATAGCAGAGGTGAAGCAAAATGTCGCGGCTAATGCTACTAGACTGGAGGAAGCTGAAAACAGAATCGTGTCGGTGGAGGACCTTTT